TCACAGATAATTACTCATGGACGTTAAAATAACATCCAAAAATAACAAAGAAAAATGCATAAAATTTTCAAACTTAATTCTGGCGAGAAACAAATCTGGTATTAAAAGGGTCCAGCAATGATAATTTTATAATTTATTTTTTATACCTTTCTTAATGGTTGACACTATACAATTCATGCTACTCATTAGTATACCTCAAAATCGTGATGACAACTATAGAGGGCGCAGCAGAACTATAGCAGGAACATGGAGGTATCCTCGGGGGCGGAGCTACGTCACAGACGTTCTACGTTGCTAAGACGCGCATCACTGTACCACGTATTTCTATGAGCGTTGTGTGCGCTGCTGTGGAACGCCGGTGGAGCCGGTGAAAATTCGAGAAAACAACACAAACTCAACTTTGGAGTAATCCTGAACAACCAAATTCATATATGTTACACACGTAGGGCTAATCTTGTTACACTGTTCAGGGGACTCTCAACAACCATCGCAAAGTACCGTTTTCTGCGAGTTTTTGATCTTTGTTTTCACCGCGAGGGTTGCCAGGTGGTAGAAAATGCCTGGATGTCCGCCCCCGAGGATTGAGTGGGCAACAAACAACTGAATACTAGTATAAATAAGTAACGCCCACACTGACAACGTCAACGAACCAGAACTAAGTGACTCTCTATATTGCTCATGATTGTGTGCTACATTTCACAAAACATTGTACCTATTTCCTGATAATATAAAAATAAATAGATTATCTATTTTTGTGTATTGTAAAACATGCTTACAGATTTTGAAAGTCATTAAAATCTAAATTGGCCAGAGATCAAAGCACAAATACAGTAGTTTCAGTCCCATGGCATATAATATTAGATACAGCGAGTAGTGCCACGCACATAACTAAAATTTCCATTTCTAAAATTAAAATATCGAGGTCTGAAACGAAATATAATACTATAAAACTTGAACCGAAAAGGACGCCACCAACGTCAATTTCTTGACACTAAATTCCGTTCGTGGCTCGAACTACAGTCCCTCTATAGTGGAACTGTGCTCGAACCACAATTCACGTCATGTCGATCGAGCTATTATCAAACTGGTAACAAGTTTTAGGCGCTGTAGCGTCTCTATATGAATAGTGATCATAACAATCCCATTTTAGTGTTCGATTTATTTGCTGAGTGACTGTACATGTACTTACTTTGTTTTTTTGAATAACCTCGCCAATCTCTTTTGATTCACCGGTGACATGTTGTTGGAGTGTAATAAACGAATACTGTTGAACAGAGAATTCATCCAAATCAGACGGAGCCTCGTGAATGAGTTTAAACTCGAGGCAAAACAAACTCCACATGTTTTGGCAGCCATTTTGCAACCTTTGACCTATGTCAGCTGCGCAACGATGAGGGCGCGCTTCGGAAACACGATGACACAATCGACTGTAAACTTCGTGGCAAATTAAAAGAAATGTCTTCGAGAGCGTTAAGGAAGTTACATAAAATTGAAGACGACTTGCCTGTGATTGACGGAGAAGATAATGAGAGTGTCGAGGAAGAACCAGTCACTGTGACGGTGAACCCATTTCTGGCTGTAAGTACTGTGTCCCCCGTCGAGCTACCCGTGTATGTGCCATATTGTTGTACACAATCAGCAAGACACTTTTCCGAAAATAGGGATTATTTCCAAACAAGGAGACATTCTCCCAATTAAGCATCCATTACAGTTCTTTATTTTTATATTTTATAAAAGTGTACTTACCTCATAAATTGCCCGTCTCTGAGTTGTCAGTGTATTAGCCCTGCGTACATGGCTGTGTAGGGGTGATATTTACATTGGGCTTCTTACGCCACCCCAACACATTGCAGATAAGGTCCCGGTGAATAGGAGCGCCTCCACATTCACAGACCTGTACACAGAGCTATCAGTGTATTAGACCACAGTCCCTCTATGTCTAATAGAGGGTCTGTGATTTGACCTACAGTTCATTGTCTCTCAGTCCAATGGTCTTCCAATTGGCCGGAAGATTCTCTTCTATTAAAGTTTTGTGCCTTGCTGACAATTACTACAATATTGATTTGTTTGAATGACACATGTTTACATGACATTTGTTTGATTAATTTTATTTATTTATTGTCACAGCACTGACTTTGGAAAATATATCATTAAGGTCATTAGAAAATCATTATAAGATGGTGGTGTTTGCTAAAATGTTGCTAAAATGCTAAAATATGCAAGCGTCTCATTTCTGACATTGGGTACATTGTGAATCTTTTCAGTTTAAACTTGCTCATTTGTAGTACTGAAGTAAGATTAGAGAAGCTTGTATTTTTAAATGTTTCCCACATTTGCATTCTGTTTTGTTACATCTCTGTATTGTACACAGGTATGCAAAATGTGGCAAAAATGCAAGACATGCGATTCTCTCAGATCTCACATGATAGGGTGCATGTACATCATTGCATTTTAAACTCAGATCTGTCTTTGAGAGCTAAAATAGAAACATGCAAAACTGAAATACAAAAGTGAGAAGTGAAAATGTACATGAATGTACAATTAGAATAATGAAAAGTTGGGGTCACCTGATATTTTTGGGAGAAATGTCTAAAATGTTATGCAAAATGTTCAAAATATGCATTTTTGCACTGGTTTCTAGAGTGAAATTATTTCTTTATATTTCAAAACAGACTGACATGAGATGAAGTAATATATTATTGATATGAATCCGTATAGTGTCAAACAATTACAAAAAAATAATATTTAGTCCCCGTTCGGACGCAGTCCGAAAACGGGGACTTATGTTTTGCCCTGTGTGCGTCCGTCCGTGCGTCCGTGATCACCTGTATCTCGAACATGCATGGACCGATGAAGTTCAAACTTCACTCATACATCACACATTATATGGGACATATGCACATGCATTTTTTTCATGATCCGATTAACGATAGCCGAATAGCGGCCATTTTAAGGCCGAAAATGCATCAAAATCGCACATTTTCACCATTCCAGACCCGGATCTCAGTTATGCATGGACGGATTTTGTTCAAATTTGGTACATACATTAAACATAATAGGACCTTGATGCACGTCATTTTTTTTTTTGGATCAGTTCGAAATGGCCGACTGGCGTCCATTTGTTTAAAGA